TCGTGACATTGAAGCAATATACAAATTAGAGTCTAATACCTCTCTTTTTTCTCTTTTAGATTTTTCTTTTGATTTTCAAAGCCTCATTTTGAGATAACAATGAAGATTTGTTTTGTAGAGTTTCAAAATTTTAAAAACCACTTGAAAATGTTAATTTAAAAGAGTTTTTCATTTTATGCAAAAGCTAGATGAATGAGGTATTATTTGCTTACATAAAAATAGTAGAGCAGTTGACTTTAATTTACTCTTTCCTACTATACTAGTCTTAGAGTACGCGTGACTTCCTATATTATTTAAAAGCATAGATTAAAAAATATGTAGGACGTTATAATTTAAACGATCTTAAATTTCTTATAAATTAAACTATGATTGACAACTAATTTCAATATATATATTTTAAGTATCTTATCTATGCTTCATCTATCAACTATTGTAATTGAGTTTGTGATTTAATATGGTCATATGTTACAATATGTAAATTAAAATTAAAGAATGTTGTATATTATTACGATAATTTATTATTTTTAAATGCAAGCATGTCGATTATTTAAAAATATTTTTTTAATCGTCCTAATGTGCTTATGTGTGGTTTACATTGCATAGTAAACTCTAATATTTAAAAAATTAAGAAATAAATTTATTTAACCTAAATATTAGGAGTTTCTACATAGTTTAAATAAGAAAAGAGTTAATACCAAATTTTTAATGTATTTCACTTGAATATTAGAAAGATTAGTAATTTACACTTTTATCCAATGTGAAATCAGGGTAAAAAAGGCGAACAACATTTGTCATGACCCGAATTTCCTACCCTCGGGAGTTGTGATGGCGCCTACTCATAGAAGCTAGGCAAGCCACTAAACAAAGAAATTGCTAACTCTTTCATTTTTAACCCTTTTTAACAATCTGAATTTAACAGGTAACCAACATTTAGATATTAACGATAAATGAAATCAAGCGGAAGACTTAATCTAATATAATAACCAAAACCAATACGATAATGACAACTCACATCTCTACCCGAAATTCGGTTTCACAATATCACGGACGGACTAAGATTACTACAAAAAATGTCAGAAAGAAATACAATCTGTCTCGAAATCTAATAAAAACAGAGTACATAATAAAGTAGAAGAGAACGTCGGGCCTGCGGACGCCTGCAGGACTACCTCGGGATCTCTGGCTGGACTGAAGGCATGCTCCTCAAGTGCTACTGTCCAAAGCCTGCTCCGGAATCTGCACATAGTGCAGAGTGTAGCATCAGCACAACCGACTCCATGTACTGGTAAGTGCCTAGCCTAATCCTAGCGAGGTAGTGACGAGGCTAGGACTAGACTCCAGATAAACCTGTGCAGTTATATAATATACAACGGAAAATAAACAGGAATAAACAAATAACATGGGAGAGGGTACATGCTACGGGGGAAATATCAAATTCAGTAGAAACTCAAGAGACATATGCGAGAACACTTCAAAATCTACAACAACAAAACAATAATAACACTGTTGCGGCGCGCAACCCGATCCCTATCATTTAACACTATTGCGGCATGCAACCCGATCCCAATCATTTAACACTGTTGCGGCGTGCAACCCGATCCCTATCATTTAACATTGTTGCGGCGTGCAACCCAATCCATTTATATCACTGTTGCGGCGTGCAACCCAATCCATTTATATCACTGTTGCGGCGTGCAACCCGATCCAATATAATATTATTGCGGCGCGCAACCCGATCCACATATAACATTGTTGCGGCGTGCAACACGATCCACATATAACATTATTGCGGCATGCAACCCGATCCACATATAACATTTAACAACAACCATAACAAGAGTCCCGGCAAGGGATCAACAAAGATCTATACTATCCCGGCAAAGGAATCGACAGTAAAGTAAATATGTCCCGGTAAGGGAAAAGCAACTATAACCAATCTTAACTCAACATATAACCATCTCAGCTAACACCAATACTCAATCATAAGTAATATCTACGAAAACAATCTTAATCCTTGCTCAATACCGAGAATCATCAATTAAAGCATATGTAGTATCATTTAAGAACACAATAAATTGCAATTTAAGACTCACGGTCATGCTCGATACCAACGTATAGATACTCGTCACAATGCCTATACATCGTACTCAATAAGAAGCAAATAGAAAATAGGACACAACTCCTAATACCTCAAGCTAAGGTTAGACAAACACTTACCTCGATGCCACGAACACAACTCAAGTTTCAATTATGGCTTTACCCCTTGATTCCACCGTCAATTCGCTCGTATCTAGTCACAAGTTACTTAATTACATCAATAAACGCTAAATGAATCAATTTGAATGCATGAAAATGAATTTCCCAAAGTTTTGCCCAAAAATGTCAAAAATTGCCCCGGGGCTCACACGGTCAAAACCCGAGGTTCGAACCAAAACCCGATTACTCGTTCCCCCACGAACCCAAATATATAATTTGTTTTGAAATCGGACCTCAAATCGAGGTCCAAATCCCCATTTTTTTAAAAAACTAGGTTCTACCAAAACACCCAATTTCCCCCATAAAAATCATTGATTTTAAGTTGAAATCATGTTAAAGGATGTTAATGATTGAAGAAAACTAGTTAAAAATGACTTACAATTGATTTGGAGAAGAAGAAGCCTTTGAAAAATCGCTCTAGTGTGTTTATGTTTTGAGAGGATATGAAAAATGGGTTTAAAATCGTCTAAGTAAAAAAGTTGCAGGTCTCAGGTATGGGAATTGCGAATAGGGTTTCGCAATTGCGAACCCCGACCTCTGCTATTTTGGGAAATGCTAAGGGAGGCCCGCATTTGCGAGCTGGGAATTGTGAAGACAGGGTCGCATTTGCGACCCAAGGCTGAACAGGGGAGTTTCGCATTTGCGATCAAAAATATCGCATTTGCGACTGGCCTTTCGCATTTGCGAGCCAAGTGATCGCATTTGCGATCAGGCTATTGCGAAGCCTGCAGACCTGTGCACATTAGCTGAAAACTTGCAATTTTTCTAAGTCCAAAATACATCCCGTGGCCTATCCAAAACTTACCCGAGCCCTCGGGGCTCCAAACAAAATATACACATAACCTCAAAAACATCCCACAGACTTATTCGTGTAATCAAATCACCAAAATAACATCATGAACACTGAATTAATCCTCAAAATCAATGAAATTTCTCAAAACTTCTTCAAACACCAAAGTTTTTGCAATTAAGGTCTGAATCACGTCAAACGGATTCCGTTTCTTACCACACTTCACAGAATCATCTTAAATCACATATAAGACCTGTACCGGACGCCGGAATCAAAATACGGGCCCGATACCAACATGTTCTAATCAAAATTCATTTCCAAATCCTTTAAACAATTTCAGAAAATAATTTTTCTTTAAACATTTATTTCTCGGGCTTGGGACCTTAGAATTTGATTCTGGCATACGCCCAAGTCCCATATTTTCCTACGGACCCTCCGGGACTGTCAAATCACGGGTCCGGGTCCGTTTACCTAAAACGTTGACCGAAGTCAAATTAATTCATTTTATAGTCAAAATTTATTATTTTTTATAGATTTTCACATATAAGCTTTCCGGCTACACACCTGGACTGCGCACGCAAATTGAGGTGATGCTAAAAGAGGTTTTTAAAGCCTCGAAACGCAGAATTTCATTTTATAACAAGTGAGGGTCATCACAACATTCCACTAAGGGGCTTCGTACTTTTAATATAGTGTTATATATTATTTTAATTGATTCTGATTATATTCTAATTGATATAAAAATCCTAAATATAAGGACTTAGTTCAAATAAATAGGATAAAATTAATAAACAAAATTTTAATTGATCTCAAGATACTAAATATTAGGAAAAACAACAAATATAAACAATACATAGTTAATTTTCAAAGAAAATTTTATGCCCAAGGACTCTATTACGTGTAGTCTTGTCAAGTAGTTGTAGTTAATGTTTAGCCTTAAAGAATTTCTAATTTGGTACTACTAATTATTAATATGTTACATAGGTTAATTAGGAAAAGAAAATAGGTAAGAGAAATCTTAATCTATTTTAAAGTTGTAAATATTAGGACTCTCTAACTATTTCAAACAAGAAAATTTAATAACTAAGATTTTAATTAATTTTAAAGTCCTAAATATGAGTAATATAATTTAAATTACAATTTTGTCCAATATGAAATTTATTTTTTAAAAATAAAAAAGGCGAATGACATTTTGCTAAAGGTCTTCGTGCTTTTAATATATTTCTACTGTATTATTGGGAACTTTTAGGAAAGTTTCATTTCAAGAAACACGTGAAATAGTTAATAATAAATGAAGGACATTTTTTAATATTTTGAAATTATCTTTAATGACCCGATTCATTTAAGCCGTTGATTTAAGTCCTCGGGAATTCCTTGTCCCCATATTAAAGGCAAAGGGAATAAATACTCTTAAATCTTATGCAAATTGATCGAGTGAGTAACTATGAAGTGTATGATGCACTATTGAACTCATGCTTAACTTTCCATTTGATGAGAATATTGCTTCTTATTACTACCTCCCCCTCTGTTCACTTGTCCAGTATTTTAAAAACACATTTTCTTTTTTACTTGTCACTTTTAGCATATCAAGAAGATAATTTTTCTTTCATATTATACTCATAGTATTATTTACTCATTTCAATTATCATTTTCTCAAATTCATTAAAAATATACATCAATTAATATGACTATCATGGTAAATTATGCACTTCATTTATTATTTCTTAAGGATTGTGCAAAATTCATAGTGGAAAAGTAAAAGTGGACGGAGGGAGTAGTTTTTACCGTTAAGTAGTTTTGCTTTAAAAAAATACGAATCTCTTATTTCACTATTATTTGTACATGTTAATTATTTAAATTTATAAAGATTTCAAATTAAAGGAGCGCAACCAATAAATCAAAATCATTGTATAAATATTTAGAAAGAAATATTGCATTAGAGAAAGGTAAAAGGTGCAGAATTATAAATATTATTACTGGTACAAACAAGACAAAGGAACCTAGATAATAGATTCCACATGCGGTACATTCATAAATAAATATCACACATTATTCAAGTACTAAATTGAAAAGCCAGCAAGGCCTGCAGCCTTTTTATTCAAATTTATTGTTCCTGTAGCAAGAGTTCGTTGCAATATATTGGCCATATTATCACATGTAACAGAATTTAGAGGAACCCAAAATCGATGTGCAGATACAACAAGTCCAACAATCGACACGGCATTCATCAATTGAAGTACAAGCTCTAAAGCAAGTATTAAGTTGTGGGAGTAGTCGTCTCTTAACTTCTGTGAGATCACGATCAACATCCCGTGCAGCCACGAGTTGCGTATTTGAATTAACTGAAATATTTCATCATCATGGTTATCAAAATCCAATTATGAGGGGTATAACATGAAAAATAGAACATTCAATTATCATGCATAGTGATTATTCGATTCACACACACATATAGTCATATATACATAGTAACAACGAAAATAATATAGACTACAATATATATTAAGATCAAGTAAAGATGGATACTAAGACTACAATATATATTAAGATCAAGTAAAGATGGATACTAACTTGTGGACGCCAGGAGAAAGATAGCTAGGACAACACTAAGCTTAAGTAGTGCCATGCTAGAATTTTAATGCTTTGGAAAAGTATTTGTATGAGCATTTTATTGCTTTACAAAGTGCATAATTTATAGACCCCTCGTAGACAACTTGCTCTCTAGAATAATCATAGCATTGTTTTTAAATTATTTGTTGAATTGTTTTTAATATTCAAGTTTTTCGTGAGTAGGCCTCCCCTATTAAATCAAGTAGTATATAATTTATAGTTCCATTGGATTTCCCATCTCCGATATAAAAAAAACGAAAATGTTGTTTTAGGCTTAATTAACATACTTAAATTATCATGTCAACTAATAGCGTGAGTGATCTGAAAGTGGAGAGTTAAAAAATGCCTCTATGAATGTCTATATTTCTGCTAAATATAAAACCATAAAAAAGAAAAGAAGAATATAGCAAAAGCCAATTAAATCGCTAAATAGGACAATGGGTGATGGCGCAGTTGGAGGGGGAGGTAAGGAGTTTGAATGACCAATTCATGTGATATACTTTTTTTTATTCTATCCCAAAAATAATAATAATATTTTTTATTTATTAACAATTTCAGTTTAAAATTTTCTTTTTATCCTTAGTAAAATGATTTCTAGACATATAAATTTTTATGATTTATTTTCGATCACAAATTTAAAGAAAATTCCTTTACATTTTAAAAGTCGTGTTTCGTCAATCAGCTTCAAATAAATTAAGACGAATGGAGTATAATTTAAATTCCTATATTCCTCGGGAATTAGTTCTTTGCACATGATATTACCACCTAGTTAAATCAATGAGGTTAATGCTTGAAGATACTAACAAGTTTATGTTCTTTAATTGCATGTCATGTGACATGTGATAGTAAAGCATGCTTCATAGTTGGGTTATCCAAATTAGAAGTAATAAGATGACATACACGTGGAAATTAAAGATGGATGAATATATCTCACATGACCTCGTTAAACCAATGCTTGATAATTACTTATTCTATAGATTTGAATAACAAGTGTACAAACTTAATTATAAGTGTGGAGGAATAACATTGGAATCAGTCAGCTAATAAATTGTACTTACCAGTTGTTTAATTAAGAATAATGAGCTGGATTTTGTTTTAGATCCCTTTTTTCGGTAATACATGTGAGAATAATTTAGTTTTAGATTCTTTTCTTTGGATAAATGCATGTGAGTACTCAAAACAAACCAGACCCGCTGCATTTTTCAATATGAGCACTAAAATGTTCTATTAAACAAAATATACATTTCTTTATCTAAGGACATTTTGTACGGTTTTATTTTAATGGTACATATTCTCATGTTAGAATTCTAATTAGGAAATATTTTCTGTATATTCAGCTCCATTCCAATCATTTCAATTTCTCTTCGTTATATTTGTTTAAGTTAGTTTTGATACTTTATTTTCAAAAATCGCATAAGAATCACAACATTACTAAGATGTCTCATTTGTTTATAAAACGATAATTAACAAGATTTTATATAATATAAAAAGTACAAAAATAATTTCATATTAAGAAACAATGCTAAATGAACAACACTAGCATTCATATACTTGCTTTGGAAAGAATTCTGTGATTTTTATGTCACGATCCGGATTTTCCACCCTCGGGGTCGTGATGGCGCCTACTAGTGAAAGCTAGGCAAGCCAATTATTTCAATTATTTTACCCTTTTCATTTTTAATTCCTTAACAATTGTGAGTTAACATTCTATAAACAGCGAAAATAATAAAGCGGAAGAATGAAATATAACAATTTAAGATAATACCGATACGAATCCATAAACATAATCCATACCCAGAACTAGTGCCACAATCTCACAGACTATCTAAGAATACTACAAATAGGGTCCGAACAAAATAGATACATGTTTGTCTGTGAAATAGTAAATTACTGAAGAAAAACTAGATAGGAAGGGGACGCCAAGGCCTGCGGACGCCTGCAGGACTACCTCGGGTCTCCTGATGGACTGAAGGAAGCAACCTCACTGTGATTCAAAAGCTCCAGCATTGGGATCTGCACACAGTGCAGAGTGTAGTATCAGCACAGTCGACCCCATGTGCTGGTAAGTGTCTAGCCTAACCTCGGCGAAGTAGTGACGAGGCTAGAACAAGACTACCAAATAAACTTGTGCAGTTATATCATATACAGCAAGTAATAACGACAGAAACTAGAAGTTAAAGATGGGAAGGGGAAACATGCTCGGGGAATATCATGTATAAAGAGGAATTCAGTAAAGAATCATGTGGAATACCAAAATTCAACTATAAGCAAGAATAAGGAAATCAATAACAAGTGCACGACATCACCCTTCGTGCTTTTACTCTCGTTCTCACCATAAGAATCAATATATTCGGCATGGCATCACCCTTCGTGCTTTTACCTCACATAATCATGGCACGACATTATCCTTCGTGCATTATCACTCATATCATGGCACGACATCACTCTTCATGCTTTTACATTTACAATATCGGCACGACATCACCCTTCGTGCATTAACACTCACTTACAAATATCACGCACGGCATCACCCTTCATGCTTTTGCGCTCATCCTTACCCAAGCAACAATCACAAAGCAATTCGGACAAGGGAATCAATAGAATCACAATAGAATCCCGGAAAGGGACCAATAGTATAACAATAATATCCTGGCAAGGGAAACAATATCATGAGCAATAATATCCTGGCAAGGGAAACAATATCATGAGCAATAATATCCTGGCAAGGGAAACAATATCAAGAGCAATAACATCCCTGTAAGGGAAATAATATCAAGAGCAATAACATCCCGGCAAGGGAGACAATATCATAAACCTCTTCTCTTTTTCACAATTACTTCACAACTCAATTCTCAATTTGAGTCAATGCTCTATAATGTTCAATTGCCAAGAATACTTCTATAAGCCTTGTTCAACATTAGAAATCATCATATTAAGCATGGACCGTACAATACGGAGTCACATCAATTATAGTGTAAGACTCACGAGCATGCTTGACATCGACGTGTAGATACTCGTCACCACACCTATACGTCGTACTCAACAATTAACACATAGTAGCAATTAAGACACAACTCCTAATCCCTCAAGCTAAGGTTAGACAAAACACTTACCTCAATGCCACGAACACAATTCAAGCCTCAACTACCATTTTACCAGTTGATTATACGACCAATTCGCTTGTATCAAACCAGAATTTACTTAACTATATCAGTAAATGCTAAATGAATCAATTCTAATACATGAAAATAGGTTTTCTAATGATTTTCCCAAAAAGTCAAAAATCGACCCCGAGCCCACATGGTCAAAATTCGAGGTTCGGACCAAGACCTGATTGCCCATTCGCCCACGAACTCAAATATGTAATTTGTTTTAAAATCGGACCTCAAATCGAGGTCCAAATCCCCAAAAATTAAAAATCCTATGTTCTACCCAAAATCACCCAATTCCCCATGAAAAACCCTTAATTTTGAATTGAAATCATGTGAAAAAATGTTATAGATTAAAGAAAATGAGTTGGAAGTGACTTACTAATGATTTGGAGAAGTTGATGCCTTTGAAAATCAACCAAGATGTTTTTAGGGTTTGAAGAGTTGTAAAAATGAATGAAATCCTGCCAAAATCCCAATTAACAGGTGCATTATCTGCTTCCCTCGCAATTGCGAACAAGTTGTCGCAATTGTGATGACTGGCTCTCCCCTGATTGCTTCACAATTGCGAAGAGAACATCACAAATGTGATCATAGGCTGGCCAGACTTCCTCGCAATTGCGATGAAGTCCTCCCAATTCCCAGGCCCTATAGGCTCGCAATTGCGACATCTGACCTCGTAATTGCGAGATTAGAGCCTGCAACACATACCATATGAAAACTGAAACTTCCTAAGTCCAATTTCACACTGTGGCCTATCCAAAACTCACCCGAGCCCTCGGGGCTCCAAACCAAACATGCACGCAAGTCCAAAAATATCATACGGACTTGCTCGTGCGATCAAATCATCAAAATATCATCAACAACTATGAATTAAACCTCAAATTCATGAAATCACTCAAGAACATCAAAACTACTATTTTCTCAACTATAAGTCCGTTTTAAACCAAACCAATTCCGATCTTTACCAAATTTTACAGATTCAATTTAATTATTATTTATAACTTGTACCAGGCTTCGGAACCAAGATACGAGCCTAATACCATCAAGAAAATGTATCAATTCACTTCTAAAAACCTATATATTTTCCAGCAAATAATTTCCTTAAAAATTCTTTTCTCGGGTTTGGGACCTCAGAATTCAATTTCGGGCGTACGCCCAACTCCTATATTTTACTATGGGCCCTATGTGACCGTCGGATCACGGGTCCGGGTCCGTTTACCAAGAATGTTGACCAAAGTCAACTTTAATCAATTTTAAAGGCTAATTTCCTTATTTTACTTTGATTTCACATAAAAGCCTTTTGAAAATGCTCCGGACTGCGCATGCAAATCAAGGTGAGAAAAAAAGAGGTTTTTAAGGCCTCGGAACATAGAATCGACTTGTAAAACCTCCACCTCTAAAACAACTGTTCGTTCTTGAACGGACATAAGAAAAAGTACCTAAGTCGAAGAAAAGCTGAGGATATCGGCTCCGCATATCAGACTCGAACTCCCAGGTAGCTGCTTCGGCAGGCTAACCTCTCCACTGCACACGAACAGAAGGGAAACTCTTCGATCTCAGTTGACGAACCTGCCGGTCTAGGATAGCTACTGGCTTCTCCTCATAGGACAAGTCCTTGTCCAATTAGACAGTGCTGAAGTCTAACAGGTGGGATGGATCGTCGTGATACTTCCGAAGCATGGACACATAAAACACTAGATGCACGGTTGATAAACTCGGTGGCAGCGCAAGTCTGTAAGCCAACTCTCCCACTAGATTAAGAATCTCAAATGGGCCAATGAATCTAGGGCTTAGCTTGCCCTTCTTTCTAAATCTCATCACGCCTTTCATAGGCGACACCCGAAGCAACATCCGCTCGCCGACTATAAATGCCACATCACGAACCTTACA